TTGAGTTGGACAAGATCCAAGATGAGTAATTCGGAAAATATTTTAAATATTTTAATTATAAACAAGTCTCATTTAAATTACTAAATAAGGAAATGTTGAATAGAGTTTTGTAATATGAGAATGGGAAATTCTTTGGGAAAATAGTGTATAAAAACTTGTACATTCTGTGAAAAAGAGTCGGTGAATAAACGTTCGAAAGCTCCAAACTGCTGTCGTCATTCCTCACTATAACAATTTTAATAATTTTTTCCTACTGATACTAATTTTTCAATCGGCTGCTTAATACGAGATCATGAAAGCTCCAAAAAATGTCGATTTCCGATTAATTGCAACCTTAAAGGAAGGTCCCGTGGCGTCCCTGTTGCTAATGGTAACAAATATGGCATCCTTGTAGAGCAGCTGAAATATGCCCCCCGTGTACAGCGTCTGTGTCGTCTGCCCGGTCCTCCGACCACGTGGTCCAGGAAGATAACTATTGGAAGGCGACGCACAGGAAAGGATTGTGTTTGTGTCAGGAGTTGCTTCACTGAAGTCAAAGGAAGAAGATAACGATATAATGATAATAATATTTATAATAATAATAATTAATAACAACTTCTTAACAGTACCCCCACCCCCACCCCCAGCCATAAAAAGCCTTTTACTTTTCTTACAGTCAGCGTCTAGATAAGTATGGAACCTGCTTGCCAGTCGGCGAATAGCTGTAAAGCTAAAGTTTCCATTCAATTTATAATCGACATGAAATAAAATTTTTTGTATTGTATTGTATTGTATTGCCACTGTTGTCGGCCTAGCCCCCAAACCCCAATACCCCGCCCCTTCAAGCATTTTTCTCTGCTCCAGTCGATTTATGAAACACATTTCACTTCGTTTTTTTTTTTTTTTTTTTTTTTTAATATTTAATTTGTTTACTCTACTTATAATGGTCGATAGTGTAAGATTATTAATCATAATACCTGCAACCGCTTGCTATGGCACATTTGTGAATACAAAACTCTAAAGATTTGGTGGTATCAGTTGTGACGTCATAATGGAGCTGGGCGTACACGTAATACAGTCCCGCCCTTTTCACGTCAATCATATTTGACTTTTCATCAAATTTGAGAAAAGCGGTACTTCCACTGGTGGCAACCTTCCAATTCCCAAACGAACCTATGATAATGATAAAAAATGATGTAAGTACATGAACAAGATTGCGTTTCGTATCAATACACTGTAAAATGTATGTTTGAAACAGAAAAATAGCACTCACCATTTGATAAAATGCTCTCGGAGCGCCGCTTTCCTTCTTCTGCCGGTGAGAGGTGTATTGCGCCGCCTGTCTATTTCAATTTTGAAAAAGAGGAAAGAGAAATAAGTTAAACAGAATTATGCCGTCTAATTTATTATACCAATATCCGTGTTTCATTTCTCCTAGCTATTGGCATGTCTATACTTCTTTTGGGAAACAAGCCTTTAATACCCCGTCTACCGCTCTACTACGGCTTTTAGAAAAGGCACATTTTAGGCCTAGAGGGTATTCAACTGAGGCACCAGTTGCATTACACAAAAACTTCGATTTTGAGTATCGTTTTATAATATTTCTGAAAATAATTGAACAGTTCCCTGTGGTTAAACCACATCCTTGTTATCAGAAACGCTATGCCATATTTGAAGTACATTATCCATGCGTTCGAAGGAAGCGGTTTCGCATTCAAATATGCTTTCTTTCCTATAATTTATAGTACTGTCTAATCTGAATTCTTTACGATGATGCCAGAAATCCTGATACTTTTGACACACAATGGTTAAACTGATTTTGGCTCCACACAAAAGCCCCATAAGCTATGGAAAAATTCTCAAATAAAGTTTGTAGCTCTGCACTGTTTTCAACATATTTTTGGTTCTCTAAAACACTGAAAATTGAGAGAGAGAGAGAGAGAGAGAGAGAGAGATGTCTTACCTGCTTATTGGTATAACGTCTGCCAAGTCCCCCAAATACTTGTACTGGTTCAATGCTGACGATACATAGAGCTATGCTTATTTCGAAAACAAGCCACTCTACAAAGCTGAGTCTTCCCATTTTTACAGTAGCTCACTTGTTACTATGAGTAAAATGTTTTGGTTAAATATTTCGGTCAAATACTTTGCTTATATATTATTATGCCAATAGAGAGGGGATTATCGTTGATTTTGAAGGCTAATCTACTGTGTTCAAACTTGTGGCTTCCTTTTATTGGTATCGGAATTATTTTTAATTGGAACTTTTTATATGATTCACATTTTATTTAGTATCTGTGGAAAGAGAAGATTTTATACATTAACTTCACTTTCTATAATATGAATTAATTCATTTTTTCAAATAGTATATTTTTCAGTTTTAGGAGTTTCGTCATCAGGATAAGAAAAATAATGCAAAAATTAAAAATAAAGAGAAGAAGGATGAAAGAACTGTATGAAATTGGACGATCTTCCTTTTTACCACAAAAATGATGTCACCATTAGCTGCTACTTTCATTACACACTTTCTTTTCATCTTTTCCTTAAAAGAACTAAACGAACTCCAGTTTCGGTACCCGGATCCTTCGTTTATTCAATGCAGGTCTACTCATAAAATAGGAAAATAAAACCACAGTTTATTTCACTATATATTGGTTTGAAAATGACCAATGCTTCTTTTTGCCATCCTTCATCCATAGCTTCTTATAAAACCTTACATACACCTTAAAAATGATATAATCCTAATTTTTTTCTTGGACGTACCTGATGTTGATACTTCCATAGGAGCTTATAGGAAAAAGGTCACTGTTATAATGACTGGCCAATCATTTTAAACTAAAATCAACCTTTATGAATTTTATCAAAGTTCGAATCCACGTGCAGAGAGGGATAGGTAAATGATTCGTGAGTACAAGAAAATTGCTTATTTTCCCGGGAAACTCATTTTGGCAGGTTCCCTGGCTAAGAACTTAATTACCGAGGTTACATGGTCACATTAAAACCTATCAGGAGCAGTGATACATCACTCTTATGGAAATTCTAGTCAGCTAAGCTTCGGAAATGACTTAAGTTTTTTATGAAACTGGGGCCAGAACTTTACTCTTGACAAATATGACTAATTTTACTGTAATACATATCACTCGTACACACTGATATCTTATCACCTGATAAGATATTAAATTGTGATTTATTTATTATTTTTTATTACGCTGTTTATCGCCAGATGTTTTTGGAGCAAAAATGTAACATAAAAAATGGTTTTCCTCGGGAAGTTGACACTCCT